AGCTATTTATGTGCTCATCTCCCCTTTTAGAACATAAGCTCCTTGGGGGCAGAGATTATTTTGTTTTTCATCTTTGCATTCCCACTGGTAAGTACAGCTGAAGGGAAGAGGAGGAAAGAAGTATTTGTTAGGTGTGTACTAAGCACTTTACAAATGTTATCTCATTTGTTCCTCACAACAATCTTTGAGGTAAGCGCTATTATTATCCCTATTTTGCAGATAAGGAAACTGAGGCATACATATAGAGGTTAAGTGGCTTGCCCAGGGTCATATAGCTAGTAAGTGTCTGAAGCTGGATTTGAACTCAGGTCTTCCCGACTCCAAGCCCAGACCTCTTATCTATTGGTAGATAGAGATGAGCTCTCAAGCACCAGACCTCGCACATAGCAGGCACTTATTGAAAGATTTAATAGGCTCCAAGGCTTGTGTACTACTAATATAAGCCCCAATATGTGAAAGAATTTGGTCTGTTTGACACCAAAGTGTTAGAACCACTAAAGGAAATGGCTTCCCAAATAACCAGTCATGAAGAATAGAGCCAATTGTTCCACGCCTTAAGCATCCTTCCCAGCAATGCTGAAATGCACGTATCTGGAGTCAGTGAGCTAACACATTTGAAAATAGATATTTGGATGAAATTTTAAAAAGTGAAGGTGGTGTTTAAAAAATAAAACAAGTAAGTACCAGTAAACGTTACTGTTTCTTCCTGAGGACTATGACATTTCTGAAATAAATTAAACCAGTGTTTAAATGGTTATTACCCTTTTACCCAGAGATTCCACTATTGGGCATAGACCCCAAGCAAATATGACTGAAACAAAAGTCAAATATATGCTAAAGTGTTCATAGCAGTACTCTGTGATGACAAAGACCTGGAAACAAAATTGATGTCCAGTGATTGGAGAATACCTGAAAAAAAATTAAGAAATCTGAATGTAAGGAATATTACTATGCATTAGAAAATGACACATATAAGGAATTTGGAGAAACATGAGATGATTTGCATGAACTGATGAAAAGCAAAATATGCAGAGCCAAAAGAATGTCATACACAATGATTATGAAGATGTGAATGAAAAGATATTAAAAGGAAGTCAAACTGGAGATAAAAATCTGTGAAGTTCCCAGAACAGAAAATGACATATACCTCCCTCCTCAAATCATCAAAAAATTGGCTGGCAGAGCAAGATGTTTGCTATATTTTAAGGTAAAATCACAGAACTGAATATTTTTTTATTATTTTTCTTTGTCACATGGGAAAGTCCACTCTGGGGGCTGTTTTCTTCCCCCAGAAATGACTGTGACATCAAACAAAAAATATCGATAAAATATATTTTTAAATGTTCAAGTAATGGCTTGTTTAGAGCCTTAAGCCATAAGCAAATAAGTAAAATAATTTTTAAAATGATTCAGAGGGATGTGGGTTTTGTCTTCATGTTGATTTTGAGAAAGGCAATCTGTTACAATAGAGACAACACTGAACTGGAAATCTGCCACAAACAAGTTTTGAGAATTTAAACAAGTCATTGCCTTTTCTGGGTCTCATTTCTGTAAAATGAGGCTATTGGGCTAGATAAGATACCTATCAACTCTCAGGTTCTATTATCCAGATTCAGATACATTCCTAGGTGCTAAAGGGACATCAGATATGATTTCAGAGTTAATGTTGATATAATCTTCGAGAAATCACTGAAAACAGGAAAGGTTCCAGATGACTAAAAGAGGGCAAATGCCCAGATTTTCTAAAAGAAGGAAAAGATGCATTACCAAAACAGGGGACGGTAAATTTAACATAACTCCCTGGTCACAGATTATTAAATGAGTGTTGGTCACCATTTAGAAAAGAATGTGGTATTTGTTCCTCCATTAAAATCCTGTTCTCACCATGACATAGAGGTGACCCTGGGCTCTTAAAAATCTATGACAGTAAAGTACAAGCTCTGGCAAGTCCCACACCAAGCTGGAAAGGCTTCTTGTCCAAACCTGGTGACAGAATGTATATATCATCTGAGGACCAGCCTACTTAAGTTCAGAGAGATTCATCAGCAGACGCTGGTTGCCAGGAATTAGATTTTCTTCCCTTCTACACAAAACTCATGAAGACCCACTACTCAGGAATTTTACCCCCAGTGAAATCACAGAGCTTCTGAAATATTAGAAAGTGGTGTTCCATAGGAGGCAATTTAGGTATCCTAAATACAAGTCATAACACAATAACATTTTCTTTTCTTATACAGTTACTATGTTGGTAAGATTAAGGATTACATATTGTACATTTTATCTTGAGTTAAGCTAAACATTTGACAGTCTTTCATAACATCCTTAACAAAATGGGAAAAAAAAATCTAGGTTGAACAATAGTACAGTTAGGCAGATACATAGGTGTTTCAACGACCAGAGCCAAAGAATGTGGAATAATGGAGCATTATCAATCTGGATGGAGGAAAGTGTCCAGGAGAGTGCCACAGGGATCTGTTCCAGATCCTGTTCTTTTCCAAGATTTTTTATCAAAGACCTGAATGAAGACATAAACAGCTCGCTTCTCAAATTTATGGAAGAAGTCAAGAGAGGTTATTAATATGTTGGATGACAAGATAAAGGTTAAAAAAAAAAACTTTAGATTGCTAATATTGGTTGTCAAGATTGAGGTTAAAAAAGAAAAAAAACCCACAAACAGCATAGACTGATGAGTAAAATCTAATTATAAGCCTTAATAGTGACAAACGTAAGATCCTGCTCTTGAGTTCAAAAATCAATTACATAAAAAAGAATGCAAGGAGGGATAAAGCCAACACTTCACTTTAAAATTCTGGGGGGTGGGTGTTAGTGAACTGCAAGCACAATTTGAGTCAATATTCTGATGTAGTTAACAAGATCATGGACCATATAAATAGAAGCACAGCATCCAGAAACAAGGGAGGTGATAATCTTATTATCTTTTGCTCCAATCAAACAACATCTAGAGTTTTATCTTCAGTTGTGGGGAGGGCACATTTTCAGGACAAGTGGCACACATCACAGGAGTACAACCAGGTTAGTGAAGGAACTCAAAATCGTGACATCTGAGGCCCAGGTAAAGAAATTAAGGATGGTTAGCCTGAAAAAGAGAAGGCTTAAGGAGAGGATGGCCCTTAAAGACCCAGCTGAAATGTCAGTTTATCTGTGAAATGATTTCTCCCTCCTCTGAACACCCATAACACTTTCTTTGTGCCTCTCTTACTGCATTAGAGGAGAAAAACACACACACACACACACACACACACACACACACACACACACACACCATTGATCTTTTTATTGCCTATTATTAGGAGACAGTTAATAATAATTAGGAGGCACAGTGGATAAAGCACTGGACCTGGAGTTAGGAAGGCCTGAATTCAAATCCAGACAGTTACTATTTGGGTGACCCTGGGCAAGTTTGCCTCAGTTTCCTCATCTATAAAATGGGAATAACAACAGTACCTACCTCCCAGGGTAGTTGTGAGGATGAAATAGCATTATATTTTTAAAGCACTTTGCAAACCTTAAAGAACTCTGCAAATGCTATTATTATTAGGGGGCCACGAACATAATCTTCTGCGAATATTTGTGGAATTAATGACTGTTTGAAGGGCTATCATAAAATAGGAACTGACTTATTTTGTTTACCCCAGAGGACAAAACTAAGACCAGTGAGTACCAGTTGAAGAGTTACTGATTTTGCTTAAATATAAGAACTAACAATATGCCTGTTCAAAAACGAAATGGGAAGCTTTGGGAAATAATGAGTTCCCCATTACTGAAAGTGTTGAAGTAGAATTGCAGGAATTTCTCTACTAATGACCTCAGAGGTCCAACTACTGCAGAACCATTGATAGATTTTGAACCGGGGAGTGACAAAGCTATAGAGTCAGAGGGACCATGCCTGGGGTGGCTCAGAAGGAATTCTGTGATCTGATTTGTGTTCAGATGATCAAAGCTGTGTTCTAGCAGTGTATATGCAGGATGGATCGAATGGTAAGAAGCCAAATTAGGATGATCACTTCCTTCCCTGACCTATAACAATAACAGTCTACATCACATGTACAAGCCACAATCACAGTGACTTGGGGGAGAAATGGGAGGATCCTCATATCTAAGGAGCACCAGTGAACACCAGAAGGCAAAACCAACATCAGTGTTAGAGATACCAATCCTACAGCCCCCTCTACCAGAGTTTAGCCAGGCCTGGTAAGGACTTGCCAGATTGGGTGGGCCAAGGGAGGGAAACAGGCAGGAAGCCAAGGCCAGAAGGAAGGGAAGCTACAAAAGTCCACAAACAGGGAGGGGCCAGACATGGGGTTCTAGTGAAAAAAACAGATTCCGTCTACGATGTAAGGGCCCTGGAACCCCTTCCCTTTCGCCTAAAGGGAATCTTCAGGGAGAGGGGGAGGGGACAGCCCCCTAAGAATACAGAGAGCCATCTGGTCAAGTCCCTGCCTCCCAACAGGCTTCCCTCGGAGTCACCTCAGGCATGGGCCGAGAGGTGGGCCCAGATTTCCGACCTTCGGTAGCCAGATCTGCAGAACACCTAGCTTCCATCCCACCTGCTACCCCCTCCTGGTGTCTAGCCCTTTGAACTAAGAAAGTAGGAGATGCATTCAGTTTTCTTCTTTGCCATGGTGAGGGGTGTGGGAAGGAGGGGAGAAAGGGGGTCCCGCTGGGCAAATGTCAGCAAGGGTTGGGCTAGCAGGAAAGGAGGGGGGCTAGAGGGGATGGGCGTGCCAGGCAGTGGCACTGTGCCCCGAAGCAATCCCATACCAGCTGTGCCCTAGGGACAGGGAGGCCCTTCAGCATCAATGCCACCCCACCCCACACTCCAGAGTCCGAGACGCAGGAGCCCAAATATACATGCGTACATACCTACACCCGCAAACGGGCATTCATACTGTCACAGAGTCAGCCACACAATTAAACTCGCACGCACACAAACACCCTGCAAGACAGCCCTGCCGCCCACCCTCACCCGCAGCACTCACCCCAGGCTGAGGAAAGCTGGGAGGGGCCGGGAGCCAGGCTCCCCGCCTTGCTTTCTGTGCGGCCCGGCCGGGCTCAGGCTCACGTGGTGCCAGCAGCGCTGTCCCCGCTGTCCCCGGGCCGTCACTGCACCAGGCTGACCCAACGGCGCCGCGCCGCACCCACGTCCCAGTCCCAGCGCCCGCCCGCCGGGCCCGGGCTGCACACGGCCGGGAAGGCGGGAGAGAGAGGCGGGGAGAAAGGGAAAGAGAGGGAGGGGCTGCCGATGGGCTCTTCGACTCCCGGCCCCGCCCCCCAAGGCTCTCTCCGCTCCCCACCACCCTACCCTACCCCACTCCACCCTGGCCCGCCCAGGGCTTCGGGGTCCGACTCCACCCACGTTCCAGCCACTCCAGACTGCGGGGGAAGGAGGGAAGGGAGGGCAAGAAGGGGTGGGGCTGCCCGTTGGTTCTCCGGCTCCACCCACCCTCCACCCCAACAGCACCAAGGCCCCCAGCCCCGCCCCTCACCAAAGGGGGAGGGGAATCAAGCTCCGCCCGCGGCTCCCCGGAGTCCAGTCCCACCACACCAAGCCTGGTCCTCACACTCATACATACACACTCTACCAGGGCGCACCAACCTACTGCTTGGCTTATTCCAAGGCCTGCCTCTCAATCTTACACCTCAGCTCCTTCCCGAGTTCATAAACCCCCTTCTACGGTATCCCTCTCCTCCCAGCCCCCATCTCCGCCTGTTCCCAAATTGGCTCAGCCCACTCTGGCCCAAGGTCCCTCCTCCCAAGAACCCAGGCACACCCTCTATCCTTCCTCCAAGCCTACCCCCATTTAGCCAGGGCTCCGCCCCACCTAAGGCCTATTACCCTATGCTGCGCTCGGTCTCTGGCTCACTTACCCCTCCTACTGAGTAAACTCTTTCCCCCACCCTCATTCTAGGTACCATCTAGTCTCACTGCCTCTCTAAATCCCAGCACTCGACCCAGCCCACAACCAATGCTACCCTTTCTCTAACTCTCCTGCTTAGACCTACCTGCCCATTGTCTAAACCAACCACTCTGTACAGACGTGGCATAGCTAATCCAACCAGCCATAGCCTGCTCTCCCTCCCTCCCAATCCCCCCGCCGCAGGACAGATCCCTAGATCCATCAGTGACTCATCTATTGTCTCCACCTCCCGATCTAGTCATCCCCTCCCCCCACTGAAATCTCTAATACCCCCCATAACACTCTATTGTCCCTTCTCAAATACATGGAGCTCCCACTGAATCATCTATTGTCCCCACAATACAAATACTCCCCGATGAATCGTTTATTATTTTCACACAGATTTCCCCCCTTTCAAACCACCCCACGTAGATCACCTTCCCGCACATAGGGGAGTATTCTGGGGGCAACAATCTAGTCTCCTCTCCCCCACATATAACCCTCCCCAGTTGAATCCTTCTCTATTGTCCACATACACACCTCCTCCCACAGCCCCATCCTTTCACAGCCAACCCCGGGTCACTCTCTATAGCTCTTTATTGTTCCCTCTCACCTCCCCACCCCCTATACACGTTAGCCAGATGCTTTTGTAGAGACAGTCTAATAGAGAACTAGCCTCAGAGTCAAGAAGACCTAGGTTCAAGTCCAGCCTCAGAGTTATTAACCTGAGTTCCGCCTGCACCCCTCTTAAATTACAAGGTGCACAGCCTGGGAAGATCTGTATTTGGTACGAGAGATTTCCTTCACCAGGAGTGCCCTAAACCAGTAATGTTACCATTCCAGTCCAAAACAAGACCACATAAATGCCTTGCCCAGAAACAGCTAACGGTGTCCCCATAGAATTCTCTCCCCACTATCATCTACCCCTACAAAGATCCTCTGAAATTGTATATCCTCTTTGTCCCCCTCAAAAACCAATGACTCCCTACATATAGACCCCCTCCAATTTCCCTTATACCACTCCCACACCCAGACTTTCCCACCCTCTCCTCTAAAATGAACTTCATACATTCCTCCATAAGGAGCTTTCTATATGCATTCCAAATACAAACTCATCTCTGTCTTCCCACACATAAACATTACCACTGACATCCCTGCCCCCCCCCCCAGACACTCTTATTTCAAAAATTTAAGAGCTGGAAGGGACCTCCAAGGTCATCTAGTCCATATTCATTATTTTGAAATGAAACTAAAGGCACATCCCAGACTTGCTTACAAGTGACAGAGCAGAGATTTGAACCAACCAAGTCCTTTTTCCCAAAGCTGACATCCCTCTCTACCCCTTCTCAAACAATTCCCCCTTTTCCCATACATAGAATCTGCAACTGTTCACCCTGTATGGTCTCAGACCCTCTACAGACCCAACAACTGCCATTCTCACAGAGTTCCCTGTCTACTATCCCCACCCCACTACACACAGAGTCCTCAACCCCAGTAGACTTCTTCCTGCTTCAACTACAGTATCCAGTTAGTTGTGGAGGCTTGCGTATTTTTTCTCCACAACTTAGACCATACTTGTCCGTTTTCTCCATTCACTCATCCATCATCCTAGTTTAAGCAAGAATTTCTATCCTCTCACCTGGACTATAGCAATAATTCCTAATTGGTCTTCTACTTCCAGTCTTTCCCTTTTCCACTACTTCCTCCACACAGCTGCCAAAGTGATATGCCTAAAGCATCTGGCCATGGCATATCCCTACCCCAAAATCATCAATGATTCCCTACTGCCTCTAGAATATAATAGAAACTCTTCAGCCTGACATTTTCCACAATGTAACTTCTATTCAAATTTTCAGCTATTTTCTTTTACTATCCTCACCCATTCTCTGTTTGACTCATAATGACCTGCTAGCTATTTCTCTTACAAGAACTTCCATTCCCTACCTTTATGCATGCCACTACATAGGCTGTAGGCACGCCCTCCTCAAATTCACAATTCATGTGCCACCTCCTAAATGAGGTCTTTCTTGACAATGTCCCCCCACCTTTGTACTCTCTACTCCTTGAAATTTCATTTAATCTATAACAATACTTAGTTTATTTTAAGCCTAAGGAACAATAAGAGACCAATGTCACTGGATCATAAAGTATGTTTATGTGGGTAAAGTACTAAAAGTGGGAAGGAACCAGGTTATAAAGGACTTTAAAAGCTGAACAGAAGATTCCATACCCTGATCTACACTGTTCCCCTGCCAACTTTCTTCTGTCCTCTACAGACTCATCTCTGGGCCCCTCCACACACCTGCAATGTGCTCTCAACAGTCCTCATGACTCAAGTCTTCCCCACACAACTTTCCATTGTCTCCCACACAGACTTCCCCATTCATACTGACACTATCCACTCCAAACAACTCACTATTCTCCAATACAGAACCCCCACAATTCAACTCTACATTTTCTCTTCTGCAGAGATTACCACCACTGCCACCACCACCACTGTCCTTTCCACAATTCTCCCTTCTACTGCTTCAACACAGAATCCCTCCCACCTCATAATAGGTGCTTAATAAATTTTTATGGAATTCAATTCATTGTACACTTTTAGAGGCAGCAGTGGTGCTTCAAAAACAGCATTAGACCTGGAATCAGAAGAGTTCTGGGTTCCAATCTTGCCTCTGATACTTACCAGTTGTATAACCACAAAGAAGTCAGAGAAGCTAGGTTCAAATGCTTTTACTACCTATATGACCTTGGCCATTTAGCCTCTCTGGGGTAGTTTCCTCTTCTGTAAAATTAAGGGAGTTGCACTACAAAACATTAGAATATCCCTTCCAGTTCTATGATGCACTCTTAAGTCAAATATTTAACCTCTATAAGCTTCAGTTTCTAATTCTATAAAATGGGAGTATTACTACTTATAATATTTACTTCACAGGATTGTTTTGGGGTTTAAATGAAATAATGTATATAAAGTATTTTCAAACTTTAAAGTACATGTGCATGCCCTAGGAATGGTAACCTCTTCCCAGACCACCAGGATAGCTACCACAGCTGTCAACACCCACTGAGAAGGGACCTGCCATCCCTACCACACTAACACCACTATCCAGGCACCTAAATGAAGCACCAAAGTAACCTGAGAAGAGACAAAACAAAGGGCAGGATATATCAGGTAGGGCAAACAGCCATCAACTCTTGAACCATCAATTCCCTCAGATTCTGCTGCTGGCACCTCAGAACTCTGAGCTTGAGACCCAAGAATAGAATTCCTCCCTTCCTCCTAAGCTTAGACCCAGCTTCTAGCCTGGCACCCTCATAGCCATCATCCATGGGGGAAAGCCTTGTGATGAGTCCCACCATTCTTGCCACAACCAACACCAAAAGCTGACCAATTGCCATGATATTTGGCTAATTGCTCTAACCAGCCAAACAACCCAAGAGCCCCTCAGTCTACTACTACCTCCAGCTCCATGGTCATAGCCATCACCCAGGGAAGCAGCCCTTGTGGGGATCAGACTTGACTGGCAATTGACTTCTGCTTCCTCAGCAGCCACACATACTGAAAGCCCAGTAAAGAAATTCTCTACACCAAGTTCTTAGCACTGACAAAGGCTCAATATCAGAAATGGATCAGAAGTGGTTTTATCAATGGAAATGACATTAAATCAGAAATATTACTAACTGTTTTACTATTGCACTGTGAAGGGTCACTGGGCTTTTCCATCTGACTTACAGCTGAAACATCCCATCTCTGTGTGCATTGTCTCTCCTGTTAACAGGAGAGCTATCTAGATTTCTTGTTCGTATCCCCAGCATTTAGCACAGTGCTTTGCACAGAGTTAGCACTTAATAAATGTTTTGCCATTTATTTCATTCATGCCAACTATTATGCACGTCCCCCATGGTTTCTTCTACACAGATCTCCCTACTGCTCCCCTACAAAGTTCCCCCACTAACCAACCACTATCCCCTACATAGACCCATAATTTCCTTCTGTACACCCTCAAGGTTCCTGCCATAGGATGCTTCATACCTCACACTGTGGTTAAAACATAGCCCCACTGCCCCCACACAAGTCCCCACCCTCACCTCTGATCCCTATAGACCTTTCCCCATACAGACCTATCACTGTCACACACATACACATAACCCCCATCAATGCTCTCCAATGTCTCTTACTTTCTCAC